CTCATCCCCTGGGCCTGCCCATTAGAATCACCTGGGAGCTACCAAGGCTGGGCCCACCCCCAGAGGACGGCCTTTAATTGGTCTGGGGAAGGGCCTGGGCGCTGGGACTTTTTACAAATTTCCTTGTGGGATTTTAATGTGCACCTGGGCTTGTCTAACCCTATCAGCAGCTCATAAACGAGGACCCAGGAATCCTTGTCCTTGTCTCGTGGGGGTTCACTGTTTAACCAGCGACACAGACAGTCTTGGTGTTCAGGCAGAGATCCGGGGGGACTGTGAACTTCTCAGTGTCTAAGGCTGTGAGATGCTTCACAGTCAAGGCCAGAACTAGCAGACTCCCCCCTGAACTCTCCCTGGGTTGGTGTGTGTGTGTATTTGTTACCCTCTGATGTGTGTTATGGTTATAGTCTAGAGCAGCGGTTGCCAACCAGTGGTCCAGGGAGCACTGGTGGTCCACGAAGTCCGAAAGGTTGGCGACCGCTGGTCCAGAGTCCAACTCAGAAGCCTTGTCCCAGACCCAGGCAGTTAAAGCCCATGAGAGAGGTTGACTATGGGATGTCCTGGTGCTGTGCCGTGGGACTCACACCAGGGCTCTGGTCCCCTAGGCCCGAGGCCAGGCCTCTGCACAAAGCTGCTTCCTACAACCTAAAGGAAGGACACCCCCAGAGGCTGAGCCCAGCCGCCAGCCCAGGTCAGAAGGGTGGGAGAACACGGTCCCTGGCGGCGTGCAGCATGGCTGGTTCTTTGGGTCTGCCCTCACCAAAGTGGTCTTCCCTAAAGAAGCAGGTGTGGAGGGTGCCTCTTCCTCCTGGAAGCCTTCTAGGCAGGCCCCTGGAGAGCTTCCTCTCATTTTATCAGGCTGCACTGTGTCTCCCGGGGGAGGGGCATATCTGCATGACTGCTGGGTCCTCGGTATTCATTCTCTTGGCACAGTGCGTGTTCTGGTGGGCCGTATGGCTGAGTGGAAATTGTGCCAGTTCTGACCCGTCCCCCAGCCTGGATTGGCTCCTTCCAGCCTTGAGCCTGGCTAAGCCACACGCTAACCCTTCAGCAATCTGCACGGCTCCTTGGTGACGAGGTGCACTTCCAAAGTCACACCCAGCCCCACCATTGGGTCTACTTTGAAATGGTTGTCTTACAGGGTTTACCCTGCTTGGCCCTGTGTCCCCTGCAGAGCTGCCCTTTGGACATCACAGCCCTGGCCTCAGGAGCTTGCCCTGTTTTTCCACCATCACGGCCAGCTTTGCATGGGCCCAGGACCCGGGCACAGTTGCTCTTCCAGGGCAAACCTTTGTCAAATGGCTAGAGTTTGGGCTCAAGTGGGGACAAGACAGAAGAGACGAGAACAGTCTGGAGAGCGAATCACATTCCTGCCTGAGTGTCTGGGGAAGACCAGCCAGGTTGACAGAAGAAGCCCTCCCGCCCTGCCCCGCCCCCCCCCCCCCAAGAGCATGAATAAACAGCTGAAGGACTGAATGACACACTTTATTAGAAACGTTCCTCATTCATCAGTCAAATTCACATTAAAGTGGGGGCGGCAGTGCCGTCTGGGGCTCCGAGATTCCACTGCTGGGACAATTTCCAGTTAAAAATGAGTCTGGGCAGAGAGCGTCGGAAACACTCGAGGGCTGCCCAGGGAGGCGGTCTCAGCAGCAGCATCCTTCCGGGAGGGGGCCAGGCTTGGAGCAGGCGAAGCAGGTGCCTCCCACGTCCACCCTTCCAGTTATGGGGCTGCCCCCACGGGCCCCACGCTGATAAATAAACAGCACGTCACACACACATCTGAAACAAACAAGCTCGTACACGTCTCCTAAAGTGAAAAAATAGTTTGCTCAAATAAAGCTTTGTGGCAACCAGGCTGCATCCTGAGTGGATGGTTGCCTAGAGACCCCCGGCCTCCCCGGACATCATCCACCAGGGGGTTGCAATGCCCCCACCCCCCCATTAGCACCTTTGGACTAAGTACTGCCCTCACTCCTCGTACTCCTCTCTTAAAATGCACCTGCTACTTAAAATAATAATAAAAGAAACACTCTGTCCCTGGGGTGAATTCGTGAGACTCAGCTTCCCTGAATAAGAGGTGCCTGGGGCAATGGGGGGAGGTGAGGGGCAGGAAGGCAGTGACTCGGGTAAGTAAACGACTTTCAAAGAGGTAAGCCAGAGGCGGCTAAACACTGCTCACTGCTCGGGCCACTTGCCAGTTCTGCCTGCGGGCATCCCTCTCAAAGGGGCGCAGTCCTCAAGTATCGGCTGCCCTGACAAGGGGTGAGGGCCCGAGGGGACCTGGCTGCTGTCATCATTCATTATTCAGAGGCAGTGTCTCCCCCAGCTGGCCCTGTCTGCTCCGGGCACACAACAGAGTCTCCTGCCCCAATGTTTTATTCATTCTCTTGAATATGGAAACGGGCTCCCGGATCAATACCATCCGGTGGTGTCCAGTGGGCAGGGCGGGCCCTCCTCCGGGCAGAGGCCCCGGGGGCTTCGCGGCTTCCAAGGAGGTGTCGGGACTTGGGGGAGCTGCTTCTCAGGCAGCAAATACTGTTGGCAACAGACATTCATCTTTAAAGTTGGGAACGCGTACTGGCCTTCCAAAGAACTGCAAGTTCTGGGGAGTCGGGGCGAGAAAGGCCCCTTCCTGAATGTTCCGTGCGCCGTGAAAGGAAAGGCCGGGCCCGGCATGCCCGCTGCTGCCTCGGCGCCACAGCCCGTCACTGGTACTGCAGGTAGTTTTTGAGGGACTGGGGCAGGGGCAGGGCGCCGATGTCCGGCAGGCGCTGGCGGCCCAGGGCCAGGCGGATGGATCTCCGGCACAGGTCCATCAGCGGCAGCGGCTCGGCTGCAACGAGAGGGAAGCGGGTTAGAGTCTCGCCAGTGCCCTCCTCGCACCTCCTCCCGCCCGTCCTCCCACCCACCCACTGTGCGCGGCCGCCTGTAAGCGGAGCCACAACTCGCAGGTTTGCGGAGCGGATGGAAGGAGTGACAGGTGCACATGCCTTGCCCGGGCCACGGAATGTAGTGGGAGCTCGGGTCCCGGCTCAGGGCGTGTTGGCACCGAGCACCACCCCGACCAGACGTGCCCTCTTCCTCCATTTGGACAAACAGCAAGGATTTTCTGTTTCATTCACTTAACAATGAATTCGTGACAAGGAGACTGTGAACTTCCTAGAGGACGTGACCCTGACTCATCCATCCCAGGCCCCAGGCTGAGCCTGTTACCCGGATGACCCGGTGATCATCGGTTAAATGAATGAACTGACTTGCTGCTCGGGGTCTCTCCTCTGTAGCTGTTGGAAGCTACTGAGATAAACTGCTCTTACCCGGCAGCACTCTGTCCTGGCTCCCTCCCCTCCTCTCCTCTCCTGTAAACTCCCGAGAGCAGGGCATGTTTTAATGGACAAGAGGCTTGTGGTGAGAGTTAAATGCGTTAGAAAGTGTAAAGAACTTAGCACAGTGCTCAGCACATAGTAGGTGCTCAGTAAACACCACGTCTGGCTATCTCCCTCATGCCCAGGCCTTTGTTTGGTTGCCCTGGTGAGGAAGGGCTCAGGAGGACTGTTAGCAGGATAGGCTCGGGCTGGCAGACAAGCAGTCCCTTTTCCGATGGGAGATGGGCTTGCATTTTATATCAGGGAAAAAATTGAGCTGTTAAAGTTTGATAATCATTAAAAGCTTTCTTAATCACTTTAATGCGCTAGGCACATACTAGGTCCTCAACGCCCCAAAGCATAGCCTTATCAGCACGCTCAGCTCCCTGTGTGTTCCCTGCCTAATTAGGAGCTGAGCAGAAGGGAAGGTGGCCTTTTATCTTCACTCCTCTGCAATCATTGAAATCAATCCAGAGCCCAGACTCCAAAGGCAGAGAGAAAGGAGGGGCTGGAGTTCAGAGCGTGTGTTTAGGTCTCAGTGTGAAATATCAACCCTCTCTCCTAATTCCTATGGCCGCACAGCAACCCCCAGTGCACAGTGAGCCTGGTGCCGCTGTGGAGCTTCCAGCTCCGAGGATGCCAGTAATGCCCGGCCGTCCCTCCAACTCCTCCTCCTCACCCGCCTCGGCTTTGGAACTTCTGAGAGCTGTCAAATGTCAAGGTTTAGAAGCTGTGGGCGAAAAGAGGCCACTGCTCATCGGACTGGCTCAGGGAAGGCCTGCCTGGAGGCCGTGCAGACTTAGAGACAGACCTAAAGTAACCACAGAGGATGGTCTGAAAGGAAAACTTTTATATTTAAAAAGCAATGTATGGTGAGTGGTCATGTCCTAGGCCAGAATTTCCCCTGATAAAGGTTAATCTTTACTTTAACTGAGCCTATTGTCTTTTTCTATCTATGCTAACATCTCGTTGGAATGTCAAAGTAATTTTCCTTTTTCTGGACCCCTCGAAGCACAGGCACCGCTCTGTGGAGACCACAGACCCCCTCATTGTTATTGAGTTAATTGTTGACTGTTAACTACCCTGTACCCACCTAAGTAAAAGAAGTATGTGTCTATCATTTTACTTTTTATCCAATCCCAGAGGTTTCCCCACTTTGCTTTCTCTCACCTCCCTAAACCATCACCAATGGATTTTGTGTAACCCACTTCTGTCTCCTCTTCCGATTGTAATGCAAAAAACCAGGTGCAAAACTGCCAGTCTCTGGAGCATTATCTCAATCTGTTGAGATTCTGCTTCCTGGCGATTGACAGTTTGGCTCCGATAAACTCAGAAAAATCTTCACAGGTTTGAATGTTTCTTCCCTTAACAAAATGATCAACAAAGTGATGAGAGGCATTCTCAGAAATGCTTTCTGACTAAAGATAAAATTTAAAAAGAAACATTGTTTGCAAAAGTGAATATCCAAATGGTCAATAAATATATGAAAATGTGTCTACTTCCTGAGCCATCAGGGACATGCAAATTATCACTATACTGTGACCCTCTGAGATGCCAACCAGGATGGCTAAAATGAAAACAAGACGATAGCAAGTGTTGGTGAGGATGTGGAGCGATTGGAATTCTCATAATGCTGCAGGTGGGCGGTAAACTGGCACGCCCACTTGGGAAAACCGGAGGCATCTCCTCAAGCTGAACCTATGGCCTGCAGTTTTACTCCCGGGTGTACACATGTTCACCCAAATGCACATGCACGAATGCTCATGGAGGTAACCAACTGCAAACAACAACTTTACTAGCCACCAACAGTGGGATGTCTACATAAATTGTGTATCTTCACAGAGTCAAATACTAATCCACCATGAAAATGAAGGAACCACAATTACATGCAAAAATATGGATGAATCTCTCAAACATAAGTATGAATGAAAGAAAAGTGCATTTGTGTGACTTTATCTGTACCAAGTTCAAACACACAGAGGGATGAAGTTAGGGCAGTGGTGACATGGGGGGAGCAGTGACTGGAAGGGGGCACGATGGAGCTCCTGGGGGGGCTGGTATTGTTCCCCTTGATTTGATTTGATTTCTGCCTATACCAGTGTGTTCAAGCTTACTCACCGGAGATGAGTACACTTTCTGCATAAATGTCAAAAACAAATTCACAGTAAAACAATGAGTCACTGAGTCCAGAGTGCTTCATTCAGCTCCCCGCCGGGTGAGTGTGGATACAACACAAGCCAGTGAGGGCACAGTAGGAGGAGGGGGGCTGGCTTGGAATCCTGGCTCCTGCTCCCACACCAGCGGGCCAGAGAGCTGGCTCACCTTCCTGGAGCCACGTTTTGCTCATCTGTGGAGTGGGGATAGCAAGGCCTCCATCATGCATTGTGACGATGGCAAGACCCAGCATGCTCCTTTCCTTAAAGGCATTCTCTTATTTCATGCCATCAGCCCAAGAAGTACCTTTAAAAACAGTATCAATTTGCTTAGTGTGGGTCAGAAATGCCTCGGTACATCATACTAATTGTCGACAATGCTATGCTCTGGTTGAAGATTCATTGGAGCCGGAGCTGGATGTCTGGTTCTGTGTTAAAAAAATCACCAGGCGATCATTTCCGAAGTTCTCCAGTGACCTGCATTTTCCATGATTCTCCATCACTATCCGCCTGCACGACCCCGAGTAAACCACATTCCTTCCTGGACTCTGTTTTGCAGGCAGTAAAACGGGGGAGTTAGCTCTCTGGTTACGATGGTCTGTGACTGTGACAGGAACGAGATCTTGGCACAGGCATTGGTAGCTTCGGCTGCTTCCCTGGGCCCCTCCCAGTCTCCGCTGCCTGCAGCCGGGAGATGCTAAGACATGAGTCACCACCCTACCTCCATCCCTGCGTTTATATTTTGGAAAAAATATCAACGTTTTAAGGTCAGGAGGTGCAATTCTTCTGCAACAGTTGAAGACAATGATCAGCAGATGGAGGAAGGTTGGAGCAACAGCCCTGAGATCGGAACTTAAGTAGACAGGGCACCGTTGTTTGTTTTCAGGAAAAGAAACGAGAAGACACACATGGGCACACACACTCCATGTGTCAGACACATCGCTCGTCACTTATCCACAGCCCGAGGCCGTGGTGTCTGGAGATGGAATTGCCTGCTGGCCTCTGGGCCTCTCCTCACACAGCCCCTTCAGCTGGAACTCCTGCCCCGCACAGCCTGCTGGGCCTGCCTCCCCTTTCAGGACCCAAATCAGGTGCTTCCTCCTCCCAGGGACTTGGCTTCTCTGCCCTCTGCCGGCACCTGGCAGGCGTCGACCCACGGAGGAAACTACACAAACGGTCGAATGTATCATTACCCACTCACCTCTCAACCACAGCATCCCTGTGCCTGTTGGCCCTGTCATGGCCAACAGAGACCTCGGCTCACGTCTAGAAAGCGTCTGGAGTTTTCTCTTAACAAAGCCTCACCATTTCCCCAGCAAAAAGGTGGTGACGACAGGTGGGACACGGCAGCATCTTCGGATGAACTCTATGCCAACAAGCGTCATTGGCCCAGGCGGTCCCCAGGGCCCAGGTGGGGCTCATGTTTCCCGGGGATCGAGAGTGAGCAAGTCACTTCACGTGCTCAGGAGCCCCACAGGGCAAAACAGTCCAAACAGTGCATGGCCTTCCCTAGCCACCCTGCCGGGCAGGGACATGCAGAATCTCCAAAGGGAAGAACCCGGAACAGGGAGTGCGGGAAATGCCACCTGAACTGGGCTGCTCTCCGAATGAGGTGGCGGCCTCCTCCGGGGCCCTGCCAGCGCTGAGTGCAGGGAAGCTGAACGCTGCGGCTGCGCGGTGAGCCCTGCACTCCTGCACCTCTGCACCTCGCAGAGGGACTGGCTGCCCGGAGCTCCTTGACTCAGTGCTCAACAGGAGAGCGTGTCTCGCAAAACCTTCTCAGCCAAAGACTTCCAGGGGCTCCCAGCAGAGAGGGGTTCCGCTGCTGCAGTCCCACAGCAGCTCCACTGTCAGTGTGTCTAGTGAAAGAAGAGAAGCCCCCCCCCCCCCGTTCTGAAGGTTTCCCGGGGGGGGCCGAGGGGGCGCTCCCCCAAAAGGGAAAACGGGACCCAAAAAAGGGGGGGAGTGGGGGGGAACCCAGGGAAGGGAAGGTCCCTGAATGCCGGGGAGATCCTTTTTTCTGGATCGGGGAAGACCTCCTCACAGGGCCTTCATTTCCCTAAAGCCCCCCCCCCCCCCGCCCACACACACACACAACCCCCGCTCACACACACACAACCCCCGCTCACACACACAACCCCCGCTCACACACACACACACAACGCTCTGTGCCTCCTCACCTCTGACCCAGCCCGCAGCTTCCCCACCACTCACATCTCCCACTGTGCCCACTGCACCTCCACGTCTCTGAGTGCTCCCTCCACCGCCCGCCTTCACGGAACCGCACATTCTCTCCCAGGACACCACTGCCCTTCCTT